TTTTTTACCTCCTGCCTGGGAAGGGACTAGGAGAATCTGAGGCGCGCGGGGGTGGAGGGGATGAGAGCGCTCTGGGCTCCGGGAGGGCTGTACCACTGACATCTTGAAGGGGTGGGGACCAGTCCACTGAGCAGCGCGCAATGGGAGGGTACTAGACCAGGTTAAAGTTCTAAGGGAAACGCTAGTGTCTGACCGTCAGGCATGCTAAAACCAGGTGGAAATTCACTAAGTGAGCACAGAGCTGTCTGTCGGTGCTCAGTGCCTCTGCTTTCCGGCTGCCATCTCCTGAGCGATCTGCGCGCCCCCGCCCCCGCCCCGAACCCCTAGAGCCTGTGAGAGCCGGTCTTCGCTCGGCACCAGCCAGGGCCCAGGGGTACCAGGGGCACCAGGGATATGGTCTTTCAAGTCTTCTGCGGGGTGCTCCACTATGGGAACCACATGGCCAGCAGCCACTGCCTCTGGACTAGGTTCCAGACAGGTCCGGCTCTTGAGCGTTTGATGAACTGGGGAAATGGTGCTGCGAGACCTCGTCATCCTGCTTCCCCTAGGATCTGGGCTGCAATCTGAAGAGAGCCAAACTGGGGTTAGATTGGGTGGTGTAGTAGAGAATGGAAATCAGGGCCTTGGCTAAGAGTGGTCAGAAAAGCCTCAGAGAAAGTTCTCGTCAAGGCCTAGAGGTGCCACTCCCTCACAAACCTCAACGTTAACCCCTCCAGAAATACTCCTTCAACCCAGGACATGCCTCACAGAAATCATTGCCCAAAGGAAGTCAAACCTTTGGACCATGAAGCTTTCCTATGTGAGATTTCTGAATCTTTCCCTATCACCCCCTCGCCCTTGGTTCCCTGCCCTTTCACTTACTGATCAGTGCTTAAGCATTGGGGGTTGCAGGGAGCTCAGGTATGGAGGTCAGAGGACAACTTGAGTGGATCGGTTCTCTTCTTCCACTATGTGGGTCCCAGGGATTGAACTCACATCATCAGGCTTGGTGGCAAGCACCTTTATCGGCTGAGCTGTCTTGCCAGGCCCCTCTATTTGTCTCTCACAATTAAACTCCTTTCTCTCTGAAAGGGACTATCTGGGAGATGGAATCCACATGGCTTCTCAAATGGCTAGATAAGACCTGCACTGCTGAATCCACCGCATCTCAGACATCAGAGTCCTTAGTCTCTAGATCCCTATCCCGTCCTCCTAAGACCTTAAAAGCATACTCTCTGATGTTCCTATCCTGAGATGGGCCCCCTCCCTGTCTCAGATTTTGTGAATTCCTTTTTGGGGGGGTATTTTGAGGTAGGGTTTCTCCATGTAGCTCTGTAGACCAGGCTGACCTCGAACTCATAGAGATCCACCTGCCTCTGCCTCTTGAGTTCTGGGATTAAAGGCGTGAACCACTACAGCCCGGCTAGATTTTGTGAATTCTATAACCCCTCCCTGGCACTGGACCTGTACAGTCCCCACTGAGACCACCAAACACCTTCTACCTAGGATCCAGACTTTCCACTCTCTGAGCCTGTGCTTCTCCCCTATGGCCCATGCTCTCTTTCCTGGGAAACTCAGCACTTCACCTCTCTTCTGGTGGCCTCCAACCTCCTCAGTCTTACTGGCATCCCTCTCTTGAGGCCGGCGGAGTACCAGGCAAAGTCGGGGGCCTCCAGCGCGAATCCGCTCCACCACCTGGGCATGAGTGAGGCCCTGTGTTGACTCTCCATTGATATGGAGCACAAGGTCACCAGCCTGCAAGAACACAGGGGTGTATGAAGGGCAGATGAAGAACACTTTCAAAGGACAGGAACCATATCTATGAATGGACTGCTGCTTAGCACTAACCTGCAAACGACCACATCGATGTGCTGGCCCGTCCTTCAGCAGTCCACGCACGGCCAGTGGAACATCCCCAGATACACCTCGTCCTCCTTTTAAAGTGAAACCAAAGCCTGCAGGACCTCGGACTAGCTCCACAGAAAATTGACGGGTGGCTTGGGGTAGTTTCAAAGTATAGCTTGCCTTATGTTGGGTTACTGGAGGTGGCTCCATATATGTCCCCAGAGTCTCAGACCTTCGATGCTGGAATAAGGGCAAAAGTATACATAAGTTAACTGGAAGAATGTCTTAGTTAGGGTTATTGCTGTGATGAAACACCATGACCAAAGCAATTTGGGGAGGAAAAGGTTATTTGGCTTACACTTCCACATCACAGTTCATCATCAAAAGAAGTCACGACAGGAACTCAAATAGGGCAGGAACCTAGATGCTGGAACTGATGCTGAGGCCATGGAGGAATGCTGCTTACTTCCTCGTTGTTTGTTCATCCTGCTTTCTTTTTTATTATTATTTCATTATTATTATTATTATTATTTGGGGTTGCAAGACAAGGTTTCTCTGTGTGGCCTTGACTGTCCTCAAACACACTGTGTGGACCAGGCTGGCCTCAAACTCAGAGATCCGCCTGCCTCTGCCTCCCCAGTGCTGGGATTAAAGGTGTGCACCACCACCTCCCAGCTGGCCTGCTTTGTCATATAACCCAGCCCAGGAATGGAACCATCCACCATGGGCTGGACCTTCCCACCTCATTCACTAATTAAGAAAATGCCTTACAGTCAGATCTTATTAAGGCTTTTTTCTTAGTTGAGGTTCCCTCCTTTCAGATAATTCTAGCTTGTGTCAAGTTGATATAAGACTAGCCAGCACAACCGACCCCTTGTCAACTTGACACACAAACACATCACTATTAAGCCACAGTCTTTTCTTTCTTATTCATCCCTAAGATCTCACATGAAAAACATGAATAACTAAAAAAAAAAAATTTAAAATTTCCACAGTCTTTATATATTCAAATACATTAAAAATTTCAGTCCCTTTAAAATATCCAGACTCCTTAAAAATCCCAAATTTCTTTTAAAAGCCCACATATGCAGCCTGATATCATGGAGGCATTTTCTCAATTGAGATTCCTTCCTTTAAGATAACTGTCCCTTGTGTCAAGTTTACATAAGACTAGCCAGCTCGGTGTAGGGAGTGAATGCCTGTAATCCTGGCACTGGAGAGTCTGAGATGGGGGATCATGAATTTGAGAACAGCCTAGTTTACCGATCAAGTTCCAGGCCAACCTGGGCTACAGTGGATACCCTGTCTAAAACCCAACAAAAGCAAAGGGTTAACACAGAACATAGCATTGAGTACCTGGGATCGATGTTCCACAAGAGTGGTGTGAGGCAAACGACTGTCTGTGACTTCTATATCTGCAGAATCCAGAATACTAACAGCTGATATATGAAAGAGACAAAGAGAGATAATCAAAAGATGTTGACATGGAAACAACCTAGGACCCCTGGGTTACCTTTTTTTGGGGGGGTGGGTTCGAGACAGGGTTTCTCTATGGCTTTGGAGGCTGTCCTGGAACTCACTCTGTAGACCATACTGGTCTCGAATTCACAGAGATCCGCCTGCCTCTGCCTCCCAAGTGCTGGGATTAAAGGTGTGTGCCACTACCGCCCCACCTGGCCCTGGATTAACTGGCTGGAAAGATGGTTCAGAGGGCCAAGATACAATTCCCAGAACCTACATGGTGGCTCACAACCACTGTAACTCCAGTTCAAGAGGGTCTAAGAGGGCATTAGACAGCAGACATGCATATGGTATACATATGCATGCAGGCAAAATACTTAGATTAAAATTAAAATTAAAATTAATCAAAATTAAAGGCATGAGCCACCTCTGCCTGGATTGGACTCCTTAAAAAGTAACCCCAAGCCATCCATTTCAATCTCCATACCTTCCTCCCAGATGTTAATAACACATAGGCTACATGTATTAAGTAACAGGCTAAGTGGCTGAGGCTGTTATCTTAGCAGTAACAGAACTTCCTAGCAAGTGCCACATCCTGAGTTTGGCTACAGCACCTAAAGAGTTAAATAAGCACAATGTTTAAAAAACAACCTATTGGGCTGGGTGGTGGCAGACCACATATGCCTTTAATCCCAGCACTTGGGAGGAAGAAGCAGGTAGATCTCTGTGAGTTCGAGGCCAGCCTGGTCTACAGAGTGAGTTCCAGGACAGCCAGGACTGTTTCACAGAGAAACACTATCTCGAAAAGAAACAACAACAACAAAGCCAACGTACCTAAGGCCTTTGAGAAAGTTGCCATCCCAAGATTAGGTTCCCAAAAATCTAGACTACAACCTCTAATTAGCCTATAAAATTCATTTCATTTCTCACATTTCAGGGTCCCACTCACAGCAGAAGACTATAATCCCAGCATTCTAGAAGCTGAGGCAGGCGTACTGGCTCAAATTTGAGGCCAGTGTAGCCTCCAACATGAGACTTAGTCTCATGAAACCAAACAAGGGACTGAAGAGATAGATGGTTCAGCAGTTAAGAATTCCCACTACTCCTGCAGAAGACCAGAGTTCATTACCAGCACATACGTGACGGCTCACACCTGCCTGTATATACCTACACACACACACACACACACACACACACACACAAATAAATGAGGCCTGGTGGTGCACGCCTTTAATCCCAGCACCCAGGAAGCAGAGGCAGGCAGATCTCTGAGCTATAGGCCAGACTGTAGGCCAGCTTGGTCTACATAGTGAGTTCTGGGACATAGAGAGGCGCCGTCTATAAAATAAAATGAAATAAAAGTTAAATCATTAAACACACATACACAAGAAACCAAGCAAACAAAAATCTCTCTCTAATGTGTCCCGAGCTTCCAAGGGTTGACTGGCATTTCAGGCTCACCTCTTTGTAGAGAACTCATCTCCTCTCCCTAAGAGCCGTCTCCTTGGAAATGACATTTTGGACAATTTCACACATGTATAAAATATATTGAAATCATCCTTACTTCCATTATGCACTCTTAACCCTCTCCCACTCCTGCTAACTCCCTTCTTCCCAATCAACCCCCTTACACTCAGATTTGTGTATGTGTTGCAGGTAGCTACAGCTGCTGAGTGTCCAAGATTTCGAATGCCAAGTCGAAACCTCACTGACCTTAATAACCACCCAGCCCAGCACTTTCCACAAACGTTCTGAAACTCATCTATCACAATAACCCTGAAGGGACACACTCTAATTCACAAGGGCTCGCTCCTTCCTAACGCCTCTCAGCAAAATCATACTCCCTAACAGTTCTTGGTCTTTTGGCAGGAAACCCAGCCCCACCTGCCCCGCCCTACAAGTCCTTGCACCTACCCTCCTTGTGGCGCAGGCGCAATGTGGCACTGGCCTTTCGTACCAGCTCTGAGAAGTCCGCTGCGGCTCTGGCCGCCAGGGGGCGCGCGTCCAGCCGCTCCAGGAGCTGCCGAGCGCGGGGGCCCCCGGACCCAGGTAGGCCACCTCCTGCTCAGGAGAAGACAAGTCGTCATGGACCCAAGCAATTCCTAAGTTCAAAGACCTAGAAATGTCCCTCCAGATATATGGAGATGCCTGGCCACTCCTATAGTTCCACAGGTCGCCGACAGTCCCCTCCTCTCCTGGGACCCCCGACTGCTGCAGTTGTGCACGATGCTGGCTGCCTTGCCCCATAAAGTCCCCAGAGGTAGGCATTTGACAGCAATAGACCTGGACACCTTTGAGCGCCCAACAAATTTCTTTGGAGCTCACCACACTGTCCCCTTGTAACTCTAGATGCCAAACTTCTTTCTCTGTGTCTCTGGGGACCCTGCTTCTCCCACACAAACCCCTCCCCATGAGCAACCCTGAAGCCTCCAACTTTACCTCCAGTATACTACGCAATCCCTCCAACACCCAAGAGTTCCCTTAAAGGTCCAGAGTCCCCTCAGGGCTCAAGCTTCTCTAGATACCCCCTCCACATATCCCCAGCCCACTCTCCTAATTAGCTACAGGCTGCCTTCCCTGGCTCAACTGATGCCCCCAGGTTTTTCCTCCCAGACTCTTGAGCTAGGTCTCTGGAGTCTGATGTGCCCCTCCCCTCCACCACATCCCCCACACTCTTGAGTCTGTAGGGTAGGGGACCTGAAACACAGTTTCCATTGCTGGGCCCCTAGTTGCTGCCAGGACAGCCTGGGCACCAAGGCTAATGTTTACCACTTGTGGGGTGAAATGGCTAGGAGCCCGCAGGCAAGAAGAGAGTGGCCTAGGATGTCTCCTTCCCTTTCTCTTTTCTCCACCCAAGCCAGTACCTCCTCTGCTCCCTCTAGGGTCTGCGGTGTTCCCAGCGCGGGATTCCATGGCCTGTGGTGTGCCTGGTGGACTCAGGGCAGCCAGGTGACTAGTTTTTAGCACAGGGGCGCGCTCAGTTGGCTCCTAGCCCAGGCCTGGACGCGCGGCTGTTGTCTGGCCAGTCCCAGGCCTGGCGCCGGACCCGCGAGGTGACCTACCTGGCCGCAGGCAAGGAGGCCTGGCTGTGGGAGTCTGTTAAAGTCAGAATTCAGTCTTGCTCTGCCCCAGGCGCTTCTGCTTTTCTTACCTGGGGACTGGTTAAAACTGAAAAGCCTTAGTATACCAATTGTTAAACAAGATAAGCAGGAAATGGAACTTAAATAGACTGCCTGGAAGTGTAAGAAGGTACACTAACTTTACAAAACAGCTTGTGAGTATTTGTTTAAATTAAACAATCAGAAAGAAAACTAATTAAACATACACATGTGATCCACCTATTCCACTCCTGAGTACTTATCTAAAAGGGTGCACACTTTCCATAAAGACTTGAGTATGAGTGTTTATGAAGCCTTTATTTCTTGTCATGTTCTCCTTGGGCAGCCATAACAAAATAGTACTGAGTGGGTTGTTAAAACAACACAAATTTATTTCCCCTTGTTCTGGAAACTAGAAAATGAAAAATCAAGGAGCTGGCCGATTTGGTCCTGGATGTTTGTTGTTGTTGGTTGGTTGGTTGGTTGGTTGGTTGGTTGGGTTTTTTTTCTTACTTTGAAGGTAACTGCTTTTGGGCAGGGGTGGAGCAGGTCTTTAATTCCAGCACTCAGGAGGTAGAGTCACATGGATCTCTGTGACTTGCCTGGTCTAAAAAGTGAGTTCCAGGACAGACAGAGGTATTACACAGAGGAACCCTGTCTCAAAAAAATAAATAAATAAACAAAAAATGAAAATAACTACTTTCTTGCTGTTCTCCTCACACTGAATTGAGTAGACGAGATGTGTGTGTTTGTGAGTTAGGGAGAGAGAGACCACTCCCCCCTTATCAAGATATAGTCTATCTGATTAAAGCCCTTCCCCTCCTAAGCATTTAACCTTATATACCTCCTAAGACTCTATCTGCAGATAGAGTCCCTTGAGAGTTAGAGCCTTAACAAATGGGGGAAGAGACATGGAATTCAGTTCACAGCATTTGTTGATAGCCTCAAATTGGACACAGCCCAACTGTATAAACTGTGTATTCATACAGTGGGTTAGCTATAGTAATGCACACACCTATTATTGCAGCACATAAGCAGCTGAGGCAGGAGGATTTGGGGGTTGGAGGCCAGCCTGGGTAGCTCAATAACACTCTGTTACCCTCAAAAAACTTTTTTGACACAGGGTTTCTCTATGTATCCCTGGCTGTCCTGGAACTCGATTTGTAAGACCAGGCTGGCCTCAAACTTACAGAGATCCGCCTGTCTCTGCCTCCCAAGTGCTGGGATTAAAGTTGTGCACCTCAAAAAAACTTTAAAGCAGCTGGGTGGCCGTGGTGCATGCCTTTTGTCCCAGCACTCGGAAGGCAGAGGCAGGTGGATCTCTGTGAGTTCAAGGCCAGTCTGATCTACAGAGCTGGTTCCAGGACAGTCAGAGCTACACAGAGAAACCCTGTCTCAGAAAAACAACAACGACAAAATGTTATTGGGTTGCAATGGAACAGGCCCTTAATCCCAGCACTAGGGGGACGGAGGCAGGCAGATAGATATCTGTGAGTTTAAGGCCAGCCTGGTCTACAAATCCAGTTCCAGGACAGTCAGGACTGTTACATAGAGAAACTCCGTCTCAACCACCCCCCCACCAAAAAAACCCAAAAACCAAAAACCAAAACACTTGGTGAGATGGCTATGTCAGTATCATGATTACAATCATGGTTATTAGCATACTGTATTCAAAATTTATCAAACCTATAAAGCCAGAAATGGTGGTGAGTGGTGGTGATTGTCTATAATCTATAGTATTTGGGAAGCTGACCAGGAAAATCATGAGTTCAAGACCAGCCTGTGATACAAAGAGATAATGTGTCTCAGAAAAATAGTGTTTGGGCCAGGTGATGATGCCACACACCTTTAATCCCAGCACTTGGTAGGCAGAGGCAGGTGGATCTCTTTGAGTTCAAGGCCAGCCTGGTCTACAGATCGAGTTCCAGGACAGCCAGGACTACACAGAGAAACCCTGTCTTGAAAAACAAAACAGAAAAATACAGTATTTCGGACAGGAATGATGGCTCAGTAGTTAAGAGTACTTATCCTTCCAGAGGACCAGGTTCAATCCCCAGCACCCACTTGGCAGCTAACAACTGTGTGTAACTCAAGTTCCAGGGGATCTCACACCCTCTTCTGGCCTCTTCAGCACCAGGCATGCATGTGGTGCGCATACATACATGCAGGCAAAGTATCCATACACTTAACAGTATTTAATTTTTAAATTAAAAAATAAACGGTCAAGTCGGGCATTGGTGGCGCATGCCTTTAATCTCAGCACTCGGAAGGCAGAGGCAGGCGGATCTCTGTGAGTTTAAGGCCAGCCTGGTCTCCAGAGCGAGTTCCAGGATAGGCTCCAAAGCTACACAGAGAACCCCTGTCTCAAAAAACCAAAATAAATAAATAAATAAGCAAATAAATAAATAAATAAATAAAAATAAACAGTCAAAGTGAAAAAAATAAATTAATAAAATAAAAATAAATGGAGCCAGGCATGTTGGTACATGCCTTTAATATCAGCATTCAGGAGGCAGAAGCAGCAGAATCTCTGTGAGTTTAAGGACAGCCTGGTCTCCAGACCAAGTTCCAGGATAGGCTCCAAAGTTACACAGAGAACTCCTATATCGAAAAACCAAAATAAATAAATAAATAAATAAATAAATAATAAACAGTCAAAGTGCAAAAAATAAATTAATAAAATAAAAATAAATGGAGCCAGGCATGTTGGTACATGCCTTTAATATTAGCATTCAGGAGGCAGAGGCAGGAGAATCTCTGTGAGTTTGAGGACAGCCCGGTCTACATACCAAGTTGTAAGACAGCCAGGGCTACATAGAGAGATCCGGTCTAAAAAAAAAAAATGGTGACAAGATGGTTCATTGTGTAAAGGCATTTGCTGCCACCAAGCATAATGACCTGATTTTACTCCCCAGGACCCCCATGGTAGAAGGAGAGAACTATCTACTGCAGGTTGTACTCTGACTTCCATGTGTGTGCCCTGGCATGTTCATGCCTCCTCCTCAAATACTTTTTAAGTTTTCATTAAAAGAAGAAGAAGAAGAAGAAGAAGAAGAAGAAGAAGAAGAAGAAGAAGAAGAAGAAGAAGAAGAAGAAGAATCTCTCTTAAAAGAAAAAAAGAAAGGGAGCTGCAAGATGTCTCAACTGGTAAAGGCACTTGCCACCAAGTCCGACAATCTGAGTTTGATTCCTGGAACCCACATGGTGGAAGAAGAAAACTACACATACTGTGGCATATGCCCATACAGATACACATGCACAAAATAAGTAAATTAAATGTAAAACAACAACAAAAAGACAGGATGGGGTGCTTCTGAGAGACAGAGCCTAGAAAGTGGTAGGGTCGGGTATTTGGCCTGAGATGGCTTTGACTGCATTGTGAGTGGGGCTTGAAAAATGAGGAATGGAATGACACTTAGCCGCTAGAGAGCTGGCCTGGATATTCAGGAGCCAGATCCTGGAAGAACAATCTCCAGAGTTTTCCTTAGGATAACATTTGAGGGAGGGGTCTGGGCGTTACTAGAGGCAGGTAGGAAAGTCTGGATGATTAAGTAAATAGCTGACCAGGATTGTTTGTTAAGAAAATGGAGCAACCAGAAACTGTGGCTCATACCTGTAACCCTAGCCCTTGGGAGGCCCAAGCAGGAAGACCAGTACAATTTCCATGCCGGTCTAGGTTACATAATGAGTTCCAGGTGAGACCCTGTCTCCAAAAAAAAAGGAGGAAGAAAAACAAGAACAACAACCCAAAAAAAGCAAAGAAAAAGAAGAAAGAGGAGGAGGAGGAATTTTGAGGATTATCTAGCCTCAGTGCTGAAAGACTTAACTTACAGTCCAAAGTCTAGAAACTGAGGCAGGAGAATTGCTACATAGTGAGTACCAGACCATCCTGAATTACCCATAAAGATGAGAAGAAGGAAGGAAGGGAAGAAAAGGAAAGAAGGGAGGGAGGGAGGAAGGAAGGAAGGAAGGAAGGAAGGAAGGAAAAAAAGAAAAAACCTGAGATCAGAATGTTAATTTGATGATGGGACCTCCTAAAGGCTTCCTTGGCCTCTTTTGCAACTCTAGACATTATCATGCTGGACTCTGAAGGGCATTGATGTCATGGATAATGACCTATCCCAAGACCCTTCTGCCTCTCAGGTAGAGGTTCTGGGATGGTAAATACTAATACCCCTAAGGAATAAAAACCTTGATTATTTTGGGGAGCTGTTCTATAATGGTTCATGGTGCTAGAGGAGGGTGGTGGAAGAGAATGAGAGTGGAAGGAGGGCCTTGGAGCTGGCCAGGCTGGAAATTCAGCATGAGTCCTGAGTTCACAAACAAGAATCAGATAGCCAGGTATGGTGATGCAAGCCTGTAACCCTAGCACTCAGATACTGAGACAGAAGAACTACCAAGAGTTGAAGGCCAGCCTTGACTACAAAGGAAATCTGTGTCAGAAAACAAAAAGCAAAAAATACTCCAAAGCTACAGAGAAACCTTGTCTCCCAAAACAGAAAGAAAGAAAGAAAGAAAGAAAGAAAGAAAGAAAGAAAGAAAGAAAGAAAGAAGCACTTTCTCAATTTTAACAGCTATGTAATTTATTAACTGATTGGTAGCTAGGTAGCCCTTAGATTCTCTCTAGCTTTTAATATTTTACTTATGTGTGTTTGTGTTTTGTGTGTGTGTGTGTGTGTG